TTTCGTCCTTCTCCTGCCGCGCCCCCTCCTCCTTCCCCCTCCCTGCCTCGTCCACATCCCCGCGCACATCACAGGGCGCGGAACCTGCCATGTCCGCGGCTCCAGAGAGCCGCGCCGCGTGCTGCCCAAACGCCGCGAGCCTCAAAACGTCCGTTTTGGGGGGAGACCAAAAAGCACCGATCCCGCTACTCCCTGGACCTCTCCCGGGGTGCTTTCCGGCAAGAATTTCGAGGCGAATCCAGCGGTGGCGACGAGGGTCTCCCGGGAGGCCCCCAAAAGGGGAAAGCGAGGGAGAGCTGGAGGTATGGTTACCTTTTTCCTTCTCTGAGTTTTGAGTAAGAGATAGAAGGGGGGCCCAAACGGTGTGGTGACCACACAGTGCGGTGAGTCGGTGGGGATTCGGGGTGATCACCGCACGGTTTTGGGACTCGGGTCGTTCGCACAGCGGGCGGGCGCAGCACGTCCCGAGCCCACCGAGGCCGCGCGCGCAGCTCCGTCAGCCCCCGAGGTCCACTCTTCCTCCTCGTTCTTCCTCCTCCTCCTCCTCCTCCTCCTCCTCCTTTTCCGCCTCCTCCTCCTCCTCCCCCTCCCCCTCCTTCTCCTCCTCCTCCTCCTCCTCCTCCGCCTCCTCCTCCTCCTCCTCCTCCTCATCCTCCTCCTCTTCCCTCCTCCTCCTCCTCCCCCTCCTCCTCCTCCTCGTTTCCTCCTCCGCCTCCTCTTCCTCCTCCTCCTCCTCCCCCTCCTCCTCCTCCTCCTGCTCCTCCTCCTCCTGCTCCTGCCTCCTTATGCCTCCTCCTGTCTCCTCCTCCTCCTCCTCCTCCTCCTCCTCCTCCCCCTCCTCCTCTTCCGCCTCGTCCTTGTCCTGGCACCTGTGCCACTGGGCCTCCTTCCCAGGAAAGCAGGCGGGCAGCAGCCCGCTCGTCAACCAAGCTTGCCTGTTGGGGGCCTGGAGGAGAGAAACTTGCACACTCGTCGCCTCGCCTCCCCTTGCCTGGCCACCCCGGTGCCCCGCTGGGGCAAGGGCGGGAGGCGGGTCCCCTGCGGGGGCCTCACGGGAGGATCCCACACCCATCCTCCCCACGGCCAGGGTGCCCCGCCCTGGCGTGCGGGTGTGCGGAGTCGCCAGAGGGAATGGTGCGCCCCTCGGGTGGCCTGGGGGCGGGGCGGCTTGGAAGAACCGTGCCGTTCTCCGGGAAGCCGGACGCGGCTCGAAGATGGTGAGCTGAGGGGAGGGGCCCGCGTGTAGCTCGGTCTGCTTAGAGTGAACGCTACGCTCCTTTCCAAGCGAGGACCAAGGGGCCTAAGGACACACAAACACACACACACATACACACACACACAAACAACAGGATCCCCCATATGTTCCTATCTGTTCTGGGTTGTTGTCTCCCCCACCCACTTCCCACGTTTTCCAATATTTTCTGAGGAATCGACGATGAGTTGTGTCGGTGTGTTTCTTTTCCTCCTGAGAGGAATGCGCACGCAGGCACGGAGGAACCCGCAGGCGCCGCAGAGCGAACGTTGTGCTGCCTGGCCTCTCTTCCACTATTCGGAGGAACAGACTCGGTACATATGTGCCGAGAGTAAGTAAGTGAACGTTCGGGTGTGTCTTCGTTTCCGCTCACGGATAACTTTCTCGAGACTAAGACATGCCGTTCACGGCGGGCTCTGTCGGTGCGCACCGATGCGCTCACTCGAGGTTTTCCGTAATGCTCTTTGTCATCGAACTCGCTTCGCGACTGGGGTCGTTCACTTTTCCTCTCCCTTCTACATTTACTCAATATGAATACTACTCTCCCTCTTCCCCTGATGGCGTGCTGGGAATATTCGACCCCCCCGCGTACTGTTTTTGTTACGCACACAGGATGATTCCCGGGAGTTGGGTTTTCGCCTGCGTTTTTTTTTCAAATGCTGCTCTCGCTGAGGCGCCGGCCTCATTTCTGCTCCCGAATCGTTCCGAATCGTGCTCCCGCTGCAGCGTGGGCCTCATTTTCGGATCGGTGTTTGGCCTCCGTCGTTCAGGATGGCGTTCTCGCCCCAGCGCGGGCCTCTTTCTCGCGCGCCCATCCGCCCGCCACCACCGCGCCGCACCACGCCCCGCCCCGCCGCACGCACACCCACCGCCACTTCCACCCAACGCACGCACGCACGCACGCGCACCACCACGCGCACCGCCACCACCACCGCCACCACCACCGCACTACCCCACCCACCACCACCACGCACCGCACACACACACACACGCAACACACGCACGCACACACACACACATACACACCACCACCACAACAACCACAACCACGCACACACGCACGCACGCACGCGCACCACCACTCACTACGCACACGCGCGCGGAGCCACAGGTCCGCTACGACACGCGTCCGCGGATAGAGAAAATCAGCGCCATGGTAAGGGATGGGAGGGAGGGGTAGGATGTCAGATGTTGGCGCGAGCGCACCTAACTTGACTCCTCCTCCTCCTTCTCCCACTCATTATCATTTCCGTCTTGCCTCCTCCACCTCTGTCATCCATCTCCTCTCCCTTCTCCTCCTGCCCCCCCTCTCCTCTCCCGCCACTCTCGGCTTCTGCTCATACCTCCCCCCTTTCTCATCGCCATCGGTCCCCTCTCCTCTCCCCCAGAAAGATGTGCAGGTCGAGACGAGGGTAAATCGGGGGAGGGGGTGGTAGGACGAGGAGGTTGGACGGAGAGGAGGGGGAGGGAAGGGAGGAGGGCGTGGCAGAGAACAAGGGGGTAGGCCAGGAGGGAAAGGTGGAGGAGGGATATCGACGACACGGGAGAGGGTCCATGCGGGTCATGGGGACACAACCGTCCACGCCGTCAGTACAAGCGAAAACCGACCGAACCGACAGCGGAACCGAAACCAACCGACAGTCCGCAAACAGAGTTTTAGGGCACAACGACTCGGCAACGACAAACGACCGACCGAACCGAATGAAAAAATGACTGCGACGACGTAGTTGGACCTAGTACAGACATCCTACAAGACCATGACGCCCTCCGCCGGCCAAACTGAAGCGCACTCGAGGGTACCCTCCCCCAGGATGCACAAGAACTTCCAACAAGTACGAGGAGCACCAGGGTACCCTCCCCGAACTGCCCTCGATCCTATACTTGGCGGCGCGCAGCAGGGGGAAAGGGGGAAGGGGGAGAGAGGCTTCTTAGAAGCAGACTGCGTCTGAGAAGGCGCTGGCCTTACATCTACCGGGAAGGCCCGCGCGCTTCTGAGAAGCAGGGGTGGTCCTAAGAAGCCTCCCGCCCTCCCCCTACTGCCCCCTCTGCGCGTGGCCGCTGTACTTCGGCCTGGCCGCCGCCGACATCGACCGCACCGCGAGCACCCCGTGGGTCTTGGGGCCGGTCCTGCGGCGCGAGGGGCACCATGTTCTCCGTGCCCTTCACCTGCGGTCAGCGAGGCGCGCGCACACGAGGGACGGCCCCGGAGCGCTCCCGCAAAAGGCCCCCCAGACGAGGGCCGAATCGCGTGAGGATCCGTCGCGCGTCTCGGCGATCCGGCGGCTCCGGAGGCCGCCTAGGGCGCCCTCGGCCCTCTCAGGGCGTTCAGGAACGCGCTGAGAGCTCCTGGGACGGATGTAGCCTCGTCCGAGCCAAGTCCGGCCAGTGCCTGCGCGACACGGTGCTCGGCAGCGGACCATGCTGCGATGAGCTCACCGCAGGCACATCAAACTCACCGGAGGCAAGTTTCTCCTTGAAGGCTGGCATCCCTGCGCTTGCGAGAGAGAGAACAACGGCCGCCAACAACGGCTTCGCCAACACGGCTTCGCCAACACAATGCAGCCAGAAAAACACGTGTTGTGTTGGAACGTCTTCGGAGGAGGGGGGGTCGCAGTTCGCAAAGCATGGTTCGATGCACGTGAGCGGCCCAGGGGTAGACCCAGGGGCGTGTCGCAATAAGAAGAGCAGGATGCAACATCTGGGGAGACATTATGGCCCTGGCGATCGTGCCCCCCACCCCCCAAGTAACCAAGATGAATATTTAGCTTTGATCCCCTCCTCTTTTCCCGGCGGTGAATACAACTCGTCCCTCCCCTTCCTCCTGCTCCGTGAGAGCGCTCCTGAGGTATAAGCAGCTGTAGTCGTCGTCGTCGTCGTCGTCGTCGTCGTCGTCGCATTCGCAGTCGTAGTCGTCGTCGCCGTTGCGCGGCGGGAGCCGCGGGCAAATGATTGCTTGTCCGCTGTTGAAGGGGCCCCAGTCCGTCCGGGAGGGCGTCGTCGAAACCAGAGTTGCATTTCCACTGTGGGGGGAAGCTCCTACCGGCGGTGGACAAACCTCCCTAACCACCCTTTAGTGAAAACGGCCTAGGGCCGAAACCGACGCACCTGGACCCGCAAAAATAACGGCCGTGACGCCTTCTCGCGAACCGAGAACGGCCAATTCACTAATCGACGTGTCAAGGCAGGATTATGTCGGGCCTGTCCCCCTACAGGGGGATGTTGGGCGAAAATCGTCAAACAGTCGTCCCCAGACTATTTCCTGACTATGTTTGCATCTCCCTCCTGTAGAGAAACAGCCCCGACTTGAAGGTAGGAGGTCTATCAACCTCTGGCTCCAAAGACCCACCCCGGTCGGTCCTCGCCCCTCTCTTGGCCGCCCCCGCTGCCGGGAGCCGCTCCGCCTCGTGCCTGGCCCTCTGCCTGGGCCTCTCTGGAGGCCTCCGCCCGCCCACCGATCGCCCCGCTCCGACACACACGGAGAACGGCACGAGCGCGGGCTGCTGACGCTCCTCCTCCTCCTCCTCCTCCTCCTCCTCTTCCTCCTCCTCCTGTTCCACCCTCCTTCTTCACTCCATCCTCCTCCTCCTCCACCTCCTCCTCCTCCTCCTCCTCCATCCCTCTCCAGGGTGCTGCAGGATCCTGCACCCAGACCCGGGTCAGTCGGGCCTTACATGATCCTGCATGGTGCTGCAAGATCCTGCACCCAGACCCGGGTCGACGCGGACGATCCTGCAAGAGCCTGCAAGATCCTACACCCGAGCCCGGGTGCACTGCGACCCCGCCCCTGCATGACTCTGCAAGGTCCGGCGCTCTGGCTGACCCCCGTCTGTACTGGCCCCCGTCCCCTTTGAGCCCCGATCCGCGCGGATGCTTCCTGGACCAGCCCCGGACGCCGAGAGTCGGAGGTTCAAGGACGGGGCCCGGAGGGGTCGGGTCCCGAGGACGAGGAGCCTCTCCTGAAACAGTGCGAGACCACGCCTGACTCCCTCCCTGTCCTGGAGGAGGAGGAGGAGGAGGAGGAGGAGGAGGAGGAGGAGGAGGAGGAGGAGGGGACCCCCCTCCCTCGGGACTGAGCATCGTCCAGCCGACCCCATGTCCCCATGGCCGTGGCCTGGGGCCCCCCCGGCCGACCCACCCTCGCAGATGGGGATAGAAGCTGCGGCCTTCGGGCTCCGAGGGCTGCCTGCATCCCCAGGCGGGGTGCCGAGATGGTGGGGGTCTGGACGGAGGAGGGAGGAGGGAGGAGGGAGGAGGGAGGAGGGAGGAAGGGAGGGGTCGGTTGAACGGACGCTGCAGGACCCCACACTGGAACCACCGAAAGAGGCGCCGCCAGGGGGCTTCGCAGCACAGGCGAGCACGAAGCCAAACGCGCGGCGGGCGCCTCCAAAGGCCCCCCCCCCAACCTGGCCCAGGCCTCCTCCTCCTCCTCCTCCTCCTCCTCCTCCCCCTCCCTCCTCCTCCCCTCCCTCCTCCTCCCCCCGCTGGCCCAGGCCGCGAGGCGCGCGGCCGAATCTCTGCTCCCCGCGCGGACGGAGGCCCAGGCTGCCCACCTTGGGCTACCGCGCCTGGGATTCCTCTCGGTGTTTTTTTTCTTATCCGGCGTTTCGACATTAGGCTCAAGTCGAGCCTCTCCCTCTACAGGATAAAGATTCCAAACAAGAAACAATACTATGGGGACGATGTTTTCTTACGATTTGTTTTGAACATGTTGAAAGATGTTTGGTGTATGTTTTATTGTTCGTCCAAAATCCGCAGTAGCGGGACATGCCCGACCTAATATTTCTCGTGGTGGGCGTTTTTTTTCATTCGGCGTTTCGACATTGGGCGGAAAGGGGGGAGGGAGGGGGGGTCTGGCTCCAGACCTCTGCTCAGTGCGACTTCTTGAAAGAGTGCTGCCGCTGGGGAAACTCCGCCCGCTCGAAGCAGGCGCCAAAACAACGGCCAAGCTCTACGCCATATGAGGGGAGGGGGGTTGGGGGGCCCGCGCCCATCGGCAAAACAATGAATAAACAAATCATTTGGCGGCGCGCAGAAGGGTAGGGAAAAGGAAACGCATCACCACCACCGCCCGACCCACGATCAAAAACGAGTCCTGCGCGAGATGGCATAGCGGCCTTACCCGGTGGCTTACGCGGGCCGCCAGCGCGGCGCGCTACATTGGAGACGAGGGCGCTCACGCGCCAGTGTCGACGCAGACGACCCTGTATTTTTGCGCCCCTGGCGTGGAGGATGCAGGCAAGATGTGGTTAGGGGTGGTGGTGGCGTAATTATCTCGTTTCGGGCACTCTCCCGGGACATCATGCACACCCGCATCCCGCACATTAACTCATCCTGAATCGCCCAGGTCTGGGGCCCAGATGGTGGTGGTGGTGGTAGTGATGGTGGTGGTCCCTTCCTGCTCCAAACAGGGGGTGGACGGTGGGGAGAAGGCTTCTTAAAGGAGGCTGCTTCTTAGAGGGCGCCAGCCCAGCATCTACATAAATAGGGCCCGCGTCTTCTACGAAGCATGGGTGTCTCTAAGAAGCCCTCCCCCCTCCCCCGTCCGTGCGCGGCTGAGGGTCTGCAAACATATATGGCCCGTGACTGGCCCCGCACACCCCTCCCCCCACCCTGGTCACGTCAAGATCCGCGCCAGCGCCGCCACGAATCGTGACGTGACCGGCCCTCTCCCCCCCTCTCCCACGGGTCACGCCAACAATCGCCCCTGGATAGAGAAGCGGCTCATTGGCCCGAGTAAGGGGCCACTGGGCCGGATTAGTCCAGATGAAGCCCAGCATTGAACTGGAATGAGCGGGATTCAGCTCTGGATCACGCGGGCCGATGCCGGATTAGGCTTGTTTTCGAGCACGGATACTCCAGCTCCGATGCTGAATTTAAAAAACCACCCAAGAATTGCATTCCAACCCGTAGGACCGCGACGCTCGACGGCAGTCGATGTCTTGCGCGGGCGGTCTTCGGGGCCATCGGCGGTCTCCAACGCACGCAGGCGACGTCTATACACCGCCACCACAGAGCCCTGCCAGGGCGATCCTCAGAGCGTTTTTCTCGAATGCCATCTCAATCCACCCACGATTCTCGTCGTCGCCTCGGGTGCGTCAACAGAATTCTCCCTCTTTGGGAGGGAGAACGAGCATGGGCTGTACTCAGGGAAGGCTGAAACACCGCTCAGCGATGTGCTGTTTCCGTTTCTGTGCACTACAATTTTGGCTTCGGGCCAGCTCGCACAGGTGCCTCCCTCCCCCCGACCCTCATACCCCCCACGCAACATAGACTAGCAGCTACAGCTTCGACGGGCGACCAGCCAGACTAACTCGAGTGGCACCACGCTGTATCGAAGATAGGCAGACGACGCCCGTGCTTGCGAAAAGTGGACTCCGACACGGGGGCTCTCACCCAAACTCAAACTACGCTACCTCTGGGCATCTGCCCACTCCGTCATTACGCGGCGACTCATGGGAGCCTTGGATGTATAGCATTATCTGCTTTGGAGTCACGATGGTTTCCATTCGCGGCGGCCGATAGCGCAAGGCCCATACTAAACGTACATGTTCGCAGTCGCTTCGCAGGTGGCACAATCAAGGAAGACGCTGAGGACCACTGGGGGTCACAAAGTAGTACTAACAAACACGAATCAACACCGAGGACCGCCAAGGGAACACTCAGAAACGCGAAGGGAAACACTAGCAAGTGGCAGAAGACGAAGGAGCGCTGAATTTACACAACAAGCCCTGAAACCGAAGGATCTCCTTCCCTTGCCACGTCAATGACCACCCCAACTCTGACCGTGCAAAGGAGGCTGGAGCTGCCGGGCGTCGCCTTCAGAACCTCCTGCGACGCGAGCATGACCTGCCGGCAGGAGGCCCGTAACCTGCCACTCATCCTTGGCCCTGAGATTAGAGGCCTCCTGGATGGGGTCGGAATGCATGGGGTCGGAGGACCGCGTCGCATCGCCGATACATCGAAGATGCATCGGCGAAGCATCGGCGATTCATCGGCGATGCACCGGCGATGCATCGTCGACGTCGGCGACGTCGACGCGAAGCAAATCGGGCTCCTCATCGAGCCACGCCGTCGATGCATCGGCGATGCGGAGCACGTTCCTCCAACATCTGCTACGACCCCATCTGGGAGGCCGAGAGAGACTCTCCATGTAGATCTGCCGGGAGAAGGGCCCCAGCCTGCGGACACCACGTGTGAATCACGGACGTGTGGTGGTTTCAGGCGGTATTCTGCCTACCTACCAGACCACCCCAACACGACCCGGAGACCCGAATCTGACCCGAATCTGACCCGAATTTCGGGTTGGGGGGGGGGGGGGACTGGTTCCATGTGCTTTTTCAATGTTCCCCGAACCCCCCCCCACCTGGAAGTGGAGGGAAAACTAAGGCCTTTGGGTTGGGTTGGGGTCGTTTGGGGTGGATGGTGGTATTCTGGTTCACCCGGTTGGCACTTTCAAAGAACACCCGGCAGTGCCAGAATCTTCGGACGCACACGACACGCCCGCCACGGAGACAGTTATAACGGCACCAGCGACATCACGTCCTTGCCCCCACAGGCCTGCCCTGGCCAGGCTTCGCATCCCGAGCACTTTTTGTTTGTGCAGTCCCAGGCACCATAAGCGCACGGGGAGGCAAGTAAATGACAAATAGTGGCAGGACCACTTTCCTCTAGGACCCGTGGTCTTCAAGCCGACCTGTCCACAAGTCCGCGGCGATCCTCTGAACATCTGCCCCCGTCCCGTCCGAAGTGTTCGATGCGGATCCGGTCGGGCGGCGAGGAGCCCCCGCAGAGCTCCAAACATGTCAGCAGCCTTTCAACACACACACACACACACGCACACACACACACACACACACACACACACGCACAAGACGTGTCCACACGCCACACGTCCTAGCCCTTTTCGTGTTCTGCGCACGCCGTCGGAGACCCACACGGGTCCGACATACAAAAGCCGTGCTGTTGCAAACCTCATAGGAAAGCGCCGCGCTGGCCGCGTTGACTCGCTGGACCTCGAAAGGTCAAAACCGTACCCTTGTCAGAAAGATTCCCCAAAAAGAAGAGCGACATATTTATTGAGGATATCATTCGCCACTTCGAACTGCAGGGAGAACGACAAACTGTCTGAAAACCATCCAACTTCAAACTTGAAAATCAACGGAAAATGCAACAACAACGCTTTGTCACGGGTTACGGGTCTCATCTGACGTGCTATCAGCACACCGCGGAATCGCGCAATGCGCTGCATTATTCTCGCTTTGTTGCATGGCTTGGATCAGCTGCTCCTTCACACGCTTAGCCCCAAACGCATGCGCTTCGCAATACTCCGCACGCGCGCGCGCGAGGGAGGAAAAGGAGCGGGGTGGAGGAGGGGGAGGAGGGGGAGGGGGTAGGACAAGCTAGGTGCGCTCGCGTCATATCTGACATCCTACCCCTCCCTCCCATCCCTTACCATGGCGCAGATCCCCTCTCTACTCGCACAATCGGATGTCGAGCAAGGCAATGATCCCGAAAGGGTACGCGATGCATTGTTGAGCACGGCATGGCATGGCGCAGAAAAGCACCGCAAAGCGTAGCATCAACCGAGCATTGCATTGCATGCCGTGGCATGGCACGGGAAATGACGCCATTGCTGCAGCGGGAGCACGAGTCGAAACGAGCGGAAGCGCGGAAATGAGGCCAGCGCGGAAGCGGGAGCACGATTCGGAACGAGCGGAAGCACGGAAATGAGGCCAGCGCTGCAGCGGGAGCACGATTCGGAACGAGCGGGGCCCGAAAATGAGGCTGGCGCCTCAGCGAGAGCAGCATTTTGAAAAAAACATGCAGGCGAAAAACCAACTCCTGGGAAACCTGTGTAAACAAAAACAATACGCGGGGGGGTCGGACACTCCCAGGCCGTCATCAGGGGAAGCGGGAGAGTAGTATTCATATTGAGTAATTGTGGAGGAGGAGGAGGAAGAGGAGGAGGAGGAGGGGAAGGAGGAGGAGGCGGAAGAGGAGGAAGAGGAGGAGGACGTCACTCTCGGTTACTTCTCCGCCCGCGTCGATCCTTGAGCTGCGCTGCTCTGCACCGCCTCGGCACTGCCCCGTGCGGGTGCGTTGCATGAGAGCGACGAGGTCTGCACACGTTCACCGCCCCTGGCCATGGCCCATGGCCCATCCTGGGTCCAAGAGCGGTGTACAGACAACCCGTATAATAAGGATGCGCGGTAAGGATGCAAAGACCTTGGAGGGCCAGGTTAACGTTTACTCGAGCGAGGTTGGCCAGCGCAAGTCGCTAAGGACGGGCCGAAGGGGCAAGGACGCCAAGGCACCCTTGGAAAATCGCTCATCCTTACTATGCGTGTCGACTGTACACAATCAACCCGTGTAGGAATGATGCGCGGCACCGTGGGGGACCATGCCAACCAGCACCCCGCTTGCCTCCAGGGTGCCCTGGGTGTCTTGGGATTCGAGGGTTTTTGCTGTGGAGAGCGTGACGTTCCCACACCCAGAATCGAGGGACGCCCTGGGGTCTCAGGGTTGGGTTTCTTGTCGAATGGTTCTTGTGGTCGGGCCCCTACTGTAAGGATGCAAGGGTCTTGGAGAGCCATGTTCACGTTTGTCGAACGAGGTCGGCCGCAAAAGACGCTGAGGATGAGCCGAAAGGGCAATGATTCAAGGGCAGCCTTAGACAGTTGCGTATCCTTACCATGCGTGTTTACTGGACGCCCCCCGGCTTGCCCAGGGAAGCAACCAATTACACCGACCCTGGGCCAGGGATGGGCCTGGCCAGGGGCGGTGGATATGCATTGGGGGGCGAAAAAGGCAACGATGCTGCTGCTCCCCAGACATCTCCCAGGGTGCGTCCTGACCAGAACTCCGAGAAGAATGCAGCCGTGGCGACGAGAGCTCTCCAGGACGGGCAGCGGTATCGGCTGCCATGGGGCTATGTGTATACATCTCGTCGCCCTGATGCGACGCACGACGCGACCCTTCGCACTCGACCGCCTGCGCTCATCTTCCCTGGGCAAACGAACTGGCGGGATATCAAAGGGGGTAGCGAATCAGTCCACGTAGGTGGCTTTCCCCGGCGCCAATGTCTCGAGGAACGCGCCCGGCGGCGTGGGCGAAACCAATTGCATGCAGCAGTTGTCGTACCCCCAGTCCTTTCCATATGCCCCCCTGTTGTCCACTTCGACAGCGAGAAGCGCTAGGAGGCGCCCTCCGAAGTCGAGCTGCCCCTCATACCGTCGTCTGGACTGCAATTAGTAATAACTCTGAGCCTGGTCGCCTCCAGGCGACGACAACCTGCGCCAGCGAGCAATTCTCGAACCAGAGATAGCTGCACACGCGTACACTGTCAGAGGTCCGAGCGGACTCCCGAGAGCATGTCTGTCGACGTTGCTGTGCCTTCTCTGGGCTGGCCGAGGGCCCCTGGCCAACCTCGGCTACCTGTACAAGAACACTTGTGGAACACATGGAGCAGGGATGTTGAAAAAAAAAACAGGGCCCTCCTAAGGCCTCTGTTGTCCCCATCCTACTTAAGGACCACATCCCAGAAATAATTTCGAGCAACTGGAAAAGTGTCGAAAGAGTGTCGAAAGAATGTCGAAACAATGTCGAGCGAGTGTCTCCCAAAGCCCGACACGTGAAAACCATAGAGTTTCTGGATTGTTTGGGGGGTTCTCGCAATTCTTTCTGGTGGTCAAGGCTAAAGTAAGTTGGAACATCATAACCCAAGGCCCCGATGCCGTCAAGAAGCGGCTCGCACAGAAGAACTACTCCAAGGGAACGACCCGCAGGACTCCGCTCCGCGACCTCCACTGCCTGGTGCGATTTTTGGAAGGAGGAGGGAGCGGGGCGAAGGGATCCCACACCGCCTGCGGGAACACCTCGTTCGGAGAGGCGATGATTCGCAGGCACGTGAAACATCAGCGATGGTGTTGCGCTCCATAGCGCATCCCGTCCATGCCATGCAAATCGGCGGGCATTGTCGCATCGCCCCATGTTTTCGCTCCCCATGCGATGCACAACAGCACGTTTCGCGCAACACCGGTAGCAGCCGCAGTTGGGCAGGCGACCTCTCTCTGCCTCGGGTGAGACGACGCCTGGGGCGCCGCCGACCGCGGATCGTGCCCAGAATGGGCAAGGACTGCGTCTGCCTTTGCCCAGCTCGACCCCATGTCTGTCCTGCCCCCATTCTTGCACTGCCCATCCCGATCGCACCAGCGACGGGGCAGAGACGCTCCGTCCACGCTGCCCCTGCCGCGGCCCGATGGGGCCTGGCCTCAAACTTGCCCTTCTCGGGAAACACCTTCTGGATGGTGCCCGTCTCGCCGTTGTGCTCCTGGCCGGGGTATCGGCACCACGCCGCGGCGAGGCGGCGTGCCGTGCAGACGCCCGCCGACGGTGGCCACGACGGCACGCGCGCCAGGCCGATGACGAGCGTGTGGAGGAACCACGATCGAAACAAGAAGAAACTGTGCGAGGCCTCGCCGATGCCCTGGGTCTGCGCTGGGCCCCTGTGGTGGCGCCTCCAGCGCCTACCTTCTGCGCGCTCCGCGCCCCTTGGAGGAGGGGCCCAGCGCCCGCCAACGAGACCCGCGGGGCCATCCATCAAATCGTGCAGATGCGTCTTCTCCCTCGGCTGCAAAGAGAAGAGCGGGAACCCTTGGCTGCCAACGACGAGTGTAGGGGCCTCCTACACTTGCCGCCGCTCGGACGTCCACGTCCCTTACATGTTTCGGTTTCGCGCGCGTGTTTGCTTGCTCGATGGTCCAGAATGGTCCTCGATGGCTCTCGCCGAGAAAAAATGCACACGTCCGAGCGATGCCAAATACATGGGGTCGGAAGATCGCGACGAATCGCAGATGATTCGCCGATGCCGCGGCGAAGATTCGGCGACGTCGGCGATGCATTAGCGACGTCGGCGCGCGGGTTCCGCATAGAGCCGCATCCGCGCACATTCGATTCAAGTTTGATCCACCGACCGCGCACATTCGATTTAAGAGTTCCCAGCATGTTTAACGACCGCCCTTCACATCCCCAAAACTATATGTTGGCTACAATGTTCGTATACTCGGATTATCGCTCTTCAGAGCGCCCGAGACGGCAGAATAGACCGCCGAAATCGCTCCAAGATGGCCCAAGAGGGCCCCAAGACGAGCCCAGGACGGTCCAACAGGGACCCAAGGCTCCAAGACGCTCCAAGAGGGCCCCTGGAGAGGCTCAAAGCAACCTAGACGAGGGACCCGAGACAGCCCAACTGGGCCCTGGGACCGCCCAAGAACATCCCCAAGAGGCTCCAACGATTGCCCTGAGGGACCAAGACGGCCCCAGAGGGCCCCACGACGGCCCAGGAGGCTCCCCAAACGGCCTGAGAACGGCCTCAAGAGACCCCGAAGAGGGCCGAATCGGGCCCCTGCATTAGTACGGCGACGGTCAGACTCAATATATCTCTATAGATATTTGTATATACACATGCATAAGTAGATGATTATGTGTCTATGTGTGTATATATATATAACCAACATCCTTATCATCCTCATCATCCTCATCATCCTCATCCTCATCCTCCTCCTCCTCCTCCTCCTCCTCATCCTCATCCTCCTCCTCCTTATTATCATCATCATCATCATCATCATCATCATCATCATCATCATCATCATCATCATCATCATCATCATCATCATCAGCATCATCATCATCATCATCATCATCACAGCCTCTTCCATTACCACCTGATCCACTCCTGTCCCTCCTCTGCTGCCACCCCCCCCGCCAAGGCTCCCGCAGCTTGTTCTGCATCGCTATGAACACCACCGAACAGCCCTCCTGCGCGCCGACCCGCGGCCGGCGCGGCAGTCCCTCTCCCGTCCTCGCCCTGCCTGTGGGTAGTCCTAAAGGGGGTCCAACTGAGAGGGGGTGGTGCAATAGATTTGGGACTATTGTCTTGCACATGTGTCGCGCCGGAGAATCGTACTGCACTGTGTTACAACTGATGTAGTGCACGCGGAGATCCAGCAATACATCTGCGCCCCGGAACGTGCTGCGCGCCCCAAGCGTACTGCCACCCCACAGAGATATTGCACCAAAGCTCTTGCACCCCTCCCTTGTCGCTGGACCCCCTCTTGGGTCAACCCACCCTGCCTCCTCTTTCCCCCCCTGCCCCTCCCTTTGCCCGTCCCCCTCGCTCCCTCCGTGCGCCCCCCCCATCCTCCTGCCTCAGTCCGGCCCGCCCGCCCCCCTCCCGCCCCCTCCCCTTTCTGTCGCCCCATCCCTCCCCCGACCTGCTACCCTCTCCCCCCGCCCCCCCACCCCCGTGTATTCCCATCCCCTCCCCTCCCTCCCCGTCACATCCCCTCCCCTTCTCCCCCCCTCCTGCCCCCGCCTTCCAACTCCTGCCCCCTACCCTCCACCCATCCCACCTCCCACGCGCAGAGTCTCCGAGCAGGTACCTGCTTGCTGCAGCGCGGCCCAGCGCCGTTCCAAGACACCTGCGCGCCCCTCTGAAGTGCGTGTTGAATCATGTTGACTGCTGCCTGCTTCTCCTCCTCTTCCTCCTCCACCCTCCTCATCTTTCTGGTTCCTCCTCGCCCCCCTCCCCCACCGCTCCTCCTCATTTCTGTTCCACTTCTTGTCCTCCCCCTCCAATCCCATGCCCCGTGCAACCTCCTCAATAACCTCCTCCTCCTCCTCCTCCTCCTCGTCCTCCTCCTCCTCCTCCTCCTCCTCCTCATCCGTTCTTCCTCCTCTGCCTCCGCCCTCCCCCTCTTCCCTGCACCTCTCGTTCTCCCTCCTCCGCATCCTCCACCCTCCCCCTCCTCCCTCCCTCCCTCCCTCCCTCCTCCCCTCGCCCGCCCCCACCCCGCCAGACCTGCCTCCGCCCCCCGCGACCCTGCGACCCCCGAGCCGGGAGGACGAGCACGAAAACGGCAAGGACGAGGAGGCGAAGGAGGAGGAGCTCACCCTGCTGCTCTCGCAGGCGACGGGCGGGCCCCCGAGCGCGTGCCGCGCGCGAGTGGGTCCTGCAGCTGCGGGGTGGGGACCGGCGGGCTGGCCTGCGGAAAGGGGGGGGGGGGCAGTGGGAGGCCAAGGGGGGGGAGGCATCCCGGATGCGGGGGGAGGGAGGCCAAGGGGGGAAGGGGGGGAGGCCAAGGTTGGGGGGAGGCATCCCGGAGGGGGTCCTGGTAGATGGGGGCGGACGACCGAGTCGCATGGCCGATGCACTCCGCAGGGGGGGAGGCATCCCAGATGGTGTTCGAGCAGATAGATGAGGTCGGACGACCGAGCCGCATCGCCGATTGCATCGGCGGCGCGGCGCGGTCCTCCACTGGGCCGCGGGGGGCCCGAACCCAAGCGCGCGGGCGCGCCTGCGAGTGCATGACCTTCTGCGTGCGGGTCGGCCCGGCGGGCCCGCAGCTCTGGAGAGAGGTCCGTCTCGTGCAGCCGGCGTGCCATCGTGAGGAACGCCAGCCAAGGAACTTTGTTTTTGCTGGGCAGGTTCCTCAGCATCAGATCTAGGGAGCTGTCAGAAAACCAGACCCCGTCCTGAGCCCAAAGTGGTTCTTATTTCAGCGTGTTGGCTGTAGGGGACGAAGCCTCCTCCGGTGGCGGTCTCCCTGAGTTTCGGCCCGTCGGGGGCAGTCTTTGGGCCATGCGGGGCATCAGAAGAGGATCCAAGACGAAAGACTGAACATTCTACTTAGTTCGGGCATGTCCCCCTACAGGCAGATCTTGGGCGATAAATGTTTAAAAGTACTCAAGAAACACCTCCAAATAATCCAGAAATGCAAACCAAATCGTCCCCAGACTAATTATGTTTTGACTGTGTTTGAATATTCTCCCTGTAGAGGGAACGGCCCGACTTAGAACTATCCTTGTGGATGCCATGACAATGGACACTCGAACCATGCGATCATTGAGTTAAACATGTGTTGAACATGTGTAAACCATGCTCTAAACATTTGAAAATGTGTTTAACATGTGAAAGCATGTTCTAAACATGTTTCAAACATGCGCTTACACGTTTTGAGATGTTTGACACATGGTTTAGACATCTGGCAATGATTTGGCAGCATGCCTTCCTCTCCACGAATCGACCTCCACAACACTGTCCCCAGGGGAGCGGGTCGGGAGCGCGGCGGGTCGGGAGCGCGGGTTCCCGCGCACAGGCCGCACGCATCGGCCGAGCCTGCTTCGGAGACCACGCGCGCAGGCAGCGCCAGGAGCCCAGCCCGAGGCCCAAGGCGGCCCTCGCTCCCAGGATGGGGTCGGGCGCGTCCCCCCACCGGCGGATGTTGGACGAAAAATGGGCAATGCCCCAAAACACAGACAAACAAACACGCGCGAGTCGTCCAAGCATCGCCCCCAGACTATGTTGGGGCTATTCTGGAAGTCCCCCCTGTCGAGGGGCAGGCCCGACTTCAAATGTAGGGGGATGGGGATGGGCAGGATGCAGCGGCGGCCGAACAGCTCATGGGCCTCTGAGATCTGAAAACTCCTAGAACCAACGGGTGACCGCAGGACGCACCAGAGACTATTGGAACCCTGACGTTGGCAAAAACACGGAACTGGATGCCTCTCCCACGGTTCAAACCCAGCAGCGGGGACGAATGGGCAGGAGGGGGAAGAGGAGCGAGCGGCGGACGAGGGGATGTTCCAAGCGGCCACAGGGATGTTCCAAGCGGCAGCAAGGACTGTAGGTCGAGAAAGGGAACGACGAGGGACGGTGCCCTGGACAAAGATATGGAGGAGGGTCAGCATAGGGACCAGGACCACGTATAGGACAGCCAATACGAAGAACATGAACGAAGACGCGATGAACCCCATCCGGCCTTTCTTCCCATGGTGTCGGCGCCCTCGTCGCCGGCGTCAGCGTCGCTCACCTCCACCTGCGCCAACTTAGGTGTGGGGAGAGGGTGGTGCCATGCGCCACTTTCTGGATCTCCTCCACTAGAGCCGTCTCCAGGCCAGAGCGTTCCCCGCCAACAGGGTTCATCTCTTTTGCGAAATCTGGTTCAGGGCCACAGCAGAGGGGAAAATCGACTTGGAATCATCGACACGTCGCCGATAGGGCGACGACGGCCCTCCGATAGCGAATCCGCACACTCCTGGGCAGGGTGGGTTTTCGGTACTTTGTCAGCGACCAGTGGGCGACTTGGTGGCAGTCGACGCACTCCACTCCCAAACGTTGCCCCAGACATGCATTGGGCCAAACGTTTCCCATACCACGATCACACCACGATGATGGAAACTGCCAGCTTCCCAACACTGCCAGCTTCCCAACTGGTGGGAAGGGGGCCCCGCCATGCCAGAGCAGGCTGCAAAAAAGAGCACAGTGCGTGAGCATGGATGGCCGCAGGTCGAGTGGGCAGCGTGGCTGCCGAGGCAGTAGCGCCAGGTCGGGCGTATCCCCCTACAGGGGGATTTTGGACGAACAATAAAAAACAGCCAAACCGATTCAAACAATGCCCAAAACCAATCAAAACATCGTCCCCCCACTATTTTGACTATCTTTTGAATTTTCCTCCTGTAGAGGGACGTGCCCGACGCTGCTTCTGCTCCACCTGCCCAGACATCCAGCAGCTGCATCTTGTGTCTTGCGGCGCTCGCCCCCGGAGGTCCGGGCCCCCCTTCCCGAGGCAGGGCTTTCGCCCCACGCCCTCCTGTGGGCGGCCCCGGGGCCCAGGCACGACACCCCTGGAAGGGGAGCCGAAGGTGTAGAACAGAACTCTCGCTGCAATTCTTGCCCCGACGCGAGGCTCTGAGGGTGTAGGCCCGCAACTGGGGTCACTCTGGCGAATGGCCACTCTCACGCGCAGCCGATGCGAAGGGTCAGAACAGCAGCGGGCCGGCAGCGGCCCCGACGGCCCGGCCCTCCCGCGAAGCCCTGCGGACCGCCTGGCAACCCCCACCCGCAGAACAACCTCCTCTCGACAAAACCCGTGCTTGCTTGGAGGGCCCGGCGATTGGAGAAGAGCCGTCACACCCGCAGGAAAGCAAAAACCGCACCCTCGAACCTCGATGCTTGAGCTCGGGCCAAAAAGCCTGTGGGGTCTGAAGAGCCTGCCGCATCGCAAATGCATCGCCGATGCATTCACGACGCATCGGCGGCGTCGGCGATGCGTCCTGCCGTCGGCTATGCACACATCGGATCGCATCGCCGATGCATCGGCGACGCGGCGTGACCCTCCGCCTCCGCGGGGTGGGGCCCCAGACGGCGCGGGGGCCTCGAGGTCCCAGAAAAGAAAACGCACTGCGCGGTCCGTCACCGCAGGGGCCCTGGGACGCTGGAGGCCCCGGTCGCCCGAGACGCCCTCGAAGACCGACCCCGAGTCCCAAAACCGATCGGCGACCCCGCAGCAGAGAGCCCACAGAGGACGCACGCGCCCAGCCACGCACCTGAGCACGGCCCCCCCGTCCGCGAGAGACGGGCCGCGTGACACGAACGTGCGCGCAGTGCGCACTCGCGGAACCATGGCGAACTCCTCCGTGTGTACGTCCTTGACTACCTACCAGACCACCCCAACCCAACCCGAAGACCCGAATTTGACTCGAATTTCGGGTTGGGGGGGGTACGGATTCCATGTGTTTTTTCAATGTTCCCCGACCCCCCCCCCACTGGAAATCGAGGATAAATTTGGGCCTTCGGGTTGGGTTGGGGTGGTTTGGTGGGTGGTGAGTCCTCACTCTTTCGCTCCTGGCGAATCCCCGCTGGCCCACCACGCGGCGTGGCCACCACACCGTCCGGGGGCCCCCGGAAAGGAGGCCCCCAGCGCCGAGGGCCCCCGAGGGCGGCCGCGTGGCACGGCCGAGGCTCGGGCAACTTTGCCCTCGAAGATGGATTGGCGAAGAGCCGTGCTGGACGGCTCTTCTCCAATCCATGTGAGGAGGAGAAGGAGAGGAGGAGGAGGAGGAGGAGGAGGAGGAGGAGGAGGAGGGAGGAGGAGGAGGAGGAGGAGAAGATGAGAGGAGAGGACGCGAGAGGGGAGGAGGAGGAGGAGGAGGAGGAGAAGGAGGAGGAGGAGGAGGAGGAGGAGGAGGAGGAGGAGGAGGAGTAGAGGGGAGGACGTGAGAGGAGGAGGATGAGGAGGAGGACTGGGGACACAACAGAGGACGTATGCGCCCAACCACGTACCTGAACACGGCCCCCCAGTCCGCGAGACCGGCCGCGTGATACGAACGTGCGCGCAATGCGTCTGGAACCAAACGTGGACCCATGTACGTGTGCGTCCTTCTTTCGCTCCAGATGCAAGTGAAGTTTGGGGGGGGAGAGGGGTGCCCTTTTCGGGCCCGAAAGGCCCCCCTCTCGGGCCCTGAAGGGCACCTTCAGGGGCCCCTAAAGGTCCCTCTTCGACGGCCCTCGCTGCCCCCCGACATTTCGCTCCCCCATGACGCGTCCTCCGATGGTGAAACAACGACGGCGTGTCCAAGCCTGGGCACCCCGGGCCCGTGGAGAGCGAGCAGAGATGGCTCGGCTCCATCAGCCTGGGTCAGCCAAAGGGCATCGGAGGGGATCGGCCGACCCCCGTGGACGCCGAAACCTGCCGCGGCGTGCCCGGATCCGGGCGTCGCAATCCCGTCGCACGGAGCGTCTTCGTCGTCTGAGCCTCACGGCTGGCTGCACCTCGGGCCCGGGAGAGGCGAAAGCATGAGATGGACTCGGGGGCTCGAGCAGGGATGCTTCACGATGCTGCACTCTGTCTTCCTGTCATGAAGAACGACTCGGGATGAAGAGCTCTTTCTTCTTGTCGCGAACAACGACTCAAGATGAAGAGCTGGTCCTGGCCCTGGGCCTGGGCTGTCGTGGCGGCATGACTTCCACAGCTCAGGATCCCAGGGGCGGGGGCGCAGAGGCTGTGGACGGCGCCCAGCTGCGAGTGTTGCCCACAAGCCGCCGCGGCCGCTCTGGGGCAGGCGACATCCGTCCCGAATGGATTCAGCCCGCGGCGAGACCCCGACGGCGAACCCTGCCCAGAGAGGACAGGAACCCCTCCTGGCATTCGAGGAAGCAAGAGCTGCACAAACATACACGTTCGACGGTCCGCGCAGACCTGTTGGACCTGCGCCGGACCCCCCATCACTGGCGCGCGGAGCGCGCCAGGGGCGGCGCCGAATGCGCCGCCAAGGGGGTCCAGCGCAGATCCAAGGAATCCGCGCGGACCGTCGAAAGTTTATGTTTATGCCGCTTCCCCTTCTTTCAGGTACATGTTACCTATTTTAGTCGGCGCGCGCAGAAGGGGGACGAGGGGGAGGGGGGCACGCTTCTTCGAAGGTGGTTGCTCGTTAAAGGCGCCAGCCCTCCATCAACAGACAAGGCGCGCCTTCTAAGAAACAGCATCCTTCCAAGAAGCATTCCCCCCCTCCCCGTACAGTAGGAGCTCGACCACAAGAAACCTTCCACAAGAAACCCAGAAACCCAACCCTACCCCAGGGCGTCAATTGGCTTTTGGTGTGGGAGCGTCACGCTCTCCATCGCAGAACCCTCGAAACAAGTCGGAATGTGACCTCTCAGGAGCAGCCAAAGCATGGTGCCCCCAGCTTTGCGCTCCACTTTGGAGCACCTGGGGCCCTCTGGGCCTCGGGATGGGGTGCTCTGGAGGCAGTGGGCTTGGGTCGGGCGTGTCCCCCTAAGGGCGGACTTCGCACGGAAAATTCAAACATAATCAAGAATGGTCCAAACTACTCAAGAAATAATCTCCAGACTATGTTTTACTATTTTTGAATGTCCCTCCTGTAGAGGGGCAGGCCCGACTTAGCAGTGGGCGGCTCCTTGGGAAATCCTGGGGCACCTCGGTCCAGGGGCACTTCCCACAACGCCCGCCTTGTGGAGCGCAGATCCCCGACGCGGTGCGCGCGCGCGCGTGCTGCCGGCCTGGTAGAGCCTGCCGAGGAGCTTGACGAGGGCCGGGCGGTGCCTCCCGCGCGGCTCGGCGCAGGCGTCGTGGCCTCCCCCCACCCCGGACATGCCCGCGCCGCGAAGAACACCGTGCGGCCGGGTCTGTGATCGCGGTGGCGCAGCGGCTCGATGGGGAAGGCGGGTCCCAGGGACAGGGTTGTGACGTCCGGGGGCCCCCATCTTCTGAAGAAGTCATGTCTGGGCCCCCCCCTCCCTCGAGGAGGGCATGAGCGAGGGGCAACGATAGGGGGGGGGGGCAGCCCAGACGGGGGCACAGCGGCCCTGAACCCATCCCCGACAGCTCGGCGAGAAGCCCTCGGACCGTGCAGCCGCACGGTCTGGGCAGCAGGGCCATCGACAACGGGCGGGCGACTGGAAGTCGATGCGCCACCCCCCGAGCCCCTCCCCCTCCCAACGTGGCTCCCCGGGACGCCCCCCCTAAAGCAGGGCTAGGATCGGGACAAATCGCTCCAGAGCGTTCCGGAGCGCTCTCAGAGCGTTCCGGAACGCTCTGGAGCGGCCGCGGCGCCCAATACATCCTCCAAACCCGCCGATTCTCAGAGATTTCGAGTTATCCCGATCCGATTTTGTCCCGATCTTCGCGTCGTTTGACCCCCTCCCCCCCCCCCCCCAGCGCTGCCCCTGACCCACCTTCGAGGACGGCGCGAGGGGCACCTCTGGGTGCCCCCGGCCGGGCCTCCAAGCTCGGGGGCGCCAGGAGGGGGGGGCCCGAGAGGGAGGGGGCGCGCCGATGCCCAGGGCACGTGCGCGGTCGATGGGGGGGGGGACCCGGGTTGTGCCAGGGGGCGTCTTGACAGGCCCCCGAAGGTTCACATCTCTGTGTGCTTTGTGGTGGGCTCTCGGGGCGCTCTCGTCGCCGTGGCTGGGTTCGCTTCGGGATCCTGGTCAGAACGTGGCGTGTCCCTGCATGCGGGGCCCACCTTGGTGCTCGCCCCTCCCCAACTCTTCGTGGCATGGAACAGGCGGGCCCTCAGGGAGGCGGGTCCTGGACCGGCCTTCCCCGCCAGAAACTGCTCCTCATCATGGACAATGCTTGACTGTCACTGGTCCAGGTGTGGGCCCCCTGATGCCGAAGACTTCGAAAAATCTGAGAGCCCTGTGTTCCCCTCAGGACCGGTTTGCTCCACTGAAGGTCACGAAGCGGCGCGGCGGCAGACCATGCTGCGACCTCTAAACTCCCAAAGACCTCACCACGCGATCCGTCACCGCGCGGTCCTGCGAACTTGGACGCCTCAACAGTCGCCCGAGACGACCTCGTAGAACGATCTCAATCCCAAAGCCGCGCGGTGGCCTCGAATCAGTTGGACCCTGAACTATTGCGGTTCTTCGGTCCCCCTCCTCCTACTGCGTTTCCTCCGCCTCCCCCAACTCCTCATGCAATACCCTGGCTTCCCCTTCTCCCCGCTCCCTCCTCCTCCTCCTCCTGCTGCCCCTGTCCGTTTTCCCGGCAGCTCGTCCGAGGATGTCAGGCTTTTGGACGTCCACATTGTAGCCGAAGTCCAGCGCTAATTTCTAATCGCTAAAGACTGAGATGGGCCGACAGGCAAGAACGCAAGGGTACCATTGCAAGGCTTCGCCCCTATGATGCGGCTTGACTGTATCCTGCTCCTTCCCCTGCTTCTGGGCGTAGGTGCCGCTTTGGTCTGCTCGCATCTGAGCCCCCCTGGATGAGGACCCCCGGGGGGGGCGTCTGGGCTCCGACGAGCGCTCGGATGCCGAATTCCCCTGACCCGAGTGTACACAACTAAAACGACGGCAGGACCCAAGCATGGATGAGAGCAGCCAAGAATCTAGGAGAGCGGCGGGCCTGTAAGAAGCACCGGGTGCCGCGACGCATGAAGCACGACACACGCACATGGGCACCGTCCGGGGTGCTGTGGGTGCGGCGCTGGAGCGCCAGAGCGTCAGAGAATGAGTCCCGATCAAAAAATCGGGGTCGATCTTGTTCCAAAGCTCATTTGTGACAACGTCTAATAGATCACTGATGCTCATTGGTTCTCTGCGTGGTTTCAGACGTCGTCGATCCATGTACTTTACAGGCGTCCCGGCCCCTGTTTTGCATGATCTGCCGGGTCGTATTGCGGCATCCTTTGGATCACCAGTCGGGGTCATTTGTGTTCGCCTGTATCGCTCAACGGTTGAACCCATTTCTGTTGAGTCACACTGGATACCGGATGTTTGATTCGTCGCCGCGCAAAAAAAACAGCCTCTGCGTCGCGAGTAGCACCTTTTCATCAAGTGTACCAATGACTCCAGCGATTCGGGCGTTGTTTCGTCGTCGTGCGTCGTCTGACGTCGTTCCTTCGATCGTGCCGTCGTCGACGTGCTGGTGGTTGATATCTCGTCGATTGTCTATGTCTGCCTATGTCGGATGTGGCGCCAGCAGGGCGCTTGCAATTTTCATGGTGCGTCTCGATTTGCGTTCGCCGCAGTCGGTTCTGTAGTGCAGTCGTGAAGGCCCAAGCATCGCAACCGTACAGAATCATCGGCGAAATGGTTCCTCTGAGGAGCCGTAGCGAATCAGCTGGTGAATATTTCTTTCACGTTGGCTCGTCCTCGAGGTGGAACTTCCGCCAAGTTGTCGCGATACGGCTTTCGCATCGTCGCGATGCGACTCGGGAGGTGGTCGGTGCACCCAGATGCCCAAAACCACATGTCCACAATGTGTTTTCCCAAACTCGGTCCCCTCTGTGCTCCATGCTTCGTTTCATGCAATTAGAGCCACTCCAATGCGCGGAACTCGCGGCATCGTTAGGTGAGCCTTTCGTCGGGAGACAGCTTGCGAAGGTTGTTATGATACATTGAAAAGTGTGCTTGTCTGTGACCGCATCCGCATATTAATTCTCAATCAAGGGGTGCCCACGTGCCACTGCTGGATCACTGTGCCGTTGGGGCAGGAGACCTTTCCCATGCGGTTGATGATCTAGGTCGACAAGCGAAGGTCGAAAATTACTGGTGGGACATTGCATGTGGGCAGCTGACGGTGAATTGTGGGAGTCGGAAGCTGGAAGCCGGAGGTCGGTCAATTGAAGTTGGGGGTCGATAAGTAGAGGTCGATGGCTGGAGGTGGAAGATTGAGTGCCGACAGCTGGTGGATGGCGAGGGTCGATCATTGGATGTTGGAGGTCGGTCAGGTGAGGCTGGAAGTCGATCAGTGGATTTCGATGGCTGGAGGTGGAGGTGGAAGATCGCATGTCGAAAACTGGTAGTGCATGTTGGGAGTCGGAAGTCGGGATGTCGAGGTCGATTGGTTGAGGTTGGAGGTCGACGAGTGGTGGTCGAAAACTAGTGGCGGGAGATTGTGCGTCGACAACTGGAGGGTGCTGAGAGTCAGAAGCTGGAAACTGGAGGTCGGTCAGTTGAGTTCGAATGTCGATAGGTGGAGGTCGCCAGCTGGAGGTGGGAAATTGGATGTCCACACCTAATGGTGGATGATTTGACTGCAAGCTGGACGTTGGAGGTCGGTCAGGTGAGGCTGGGGGTCGATGAGTGGAGGTCGAAGGTTGGAGATGGACAATTAAAGTCGACGCTTGGTGGTAGGCGCTGGGAGTCCTGAGCTGGAGGCTGGATGCGGGAGAGATGGGGCTGGAGGTCGACAGGTGGATGTCGAAAGCTGGAGGTGAACAATTAGAAGCGGACAGCCGGTGGAACATGCTGGCAGTTGGAAGTCGGGATGCGAAGGTCGATTGGTTGATGTTGGAGGTCGGCAGGTGGACGCCGAAAGCTAGAGGTGGAAGGTTGGAGATGGCGTGCGAGGTCGAAGGCTGGAGGTGGAAATCCACAATTGCGAATACAAACGGAGAAGAAGGAGCCGGAATCGGAACGGCGACGTCACTCGCCCCGAATTCGTCCTAAGTCCGCGGTGATATAACTATGCCAATTCGTGCTGCAATATCGTGTTCGTCGAAGCCTGCCAAGCTGGAGTCAGATGCCGTTCGCCGGAGCTGCAAGATGCATACCAGAACGTCGCAAGTCGCGACGCTGTAGGCCCGTCGTCGTCGTCCTCCTCCTCCTCCCTGTTCCCAGCGGTTGGGCTGGACGTGAAACTTGGGAGCATGATGACCTTCGCGTCTGGAAAATCTTTCGAGTGGTAGTTGGAACCCACGATCTGGAGGTCAAGGACGTCGAGGCGGGAGCTGGGGTCAGATTGCGAAGAATGATGTGGAAATAAAGGTGAAATATGTCCGTGCTGAAGGACCACTTACCGCATGTTGCGTCTACAGGTGCGATAAATAGGGAGAATGGGATAGGGATGTCAACAATGCTGCCCTGTCTGTGTGTGATACGCCGTATCGATCTCTGTCGCTTTCTGGGCTCCTACAGCTCACTGTCCGTGTCAGGGTCGGGGCAAACTTTGGGCCGAAAATTGTCCAACGACTTGTTCACATCCTCCTCCACCGATTTGCAGAAACTGGCTGTATGCCATTGTCCGTGGGAATCGTGCCACACAACTGTCATATTATTGACTGTAACCATCCGTTCCGTCCTAATGATGGGGATCGTGTCTGTCTGGTGCATTGGCTACTGAGATAGGCGACACGTTTTATCACCGAATGTTTTATCGTCGGTCTGCTCTTGCATTGTTCGGTTGCACTTCAAAAAAACACCATCCAGCCATATTGTGTCCTCCAGTTCATCCATCTCCTTGTAGACTTGTAGAATGCAGCCTCATTTGGGTATGGTTGGAAATGTGAGGATCCCCATCTTTGAAGGTGATCTGACAGTCTCAACTGTGACGCGGGTGGTGTCACGAAGAGTCTTGGCCGAGATGCCCTCCAGCTTCTTCCCCAGGTCGTTGGGGCCGAGTGGTTCTTTGATTTCTGAGGCAACTACCTGCTTGCTCTTGTCGTCTGTGTCGGTGCTGGCACGGTCATTGTTCATGTCAATGTTGATGATGTCTTCGGTGTCCTCGATGTCGCACTTGGAAACCTCGTTTGATGTTTCCTGACTGGTTGACCGTGTTCTGGTTGTGACAGCTGCCATCGCTTGCTCGGCAGTGGCCTGTGCGGTGTGTGCCACTTGTCTAGTCTGGGCTGAATCTCTAGTCCGAGAGCATGTCGTACATTGAATATATATACACATATTTGTATATACATATATATATATATTCGCCATTCGACCATGTGCTTTTACTTGATTCAATGCCCAATACTTTCACCTCCTGTGATCCTCCAGCAAAGGCTTCGGCCTTGAGGACCGCGTCTTTTGCCATCACAGGCCGACTGAAGAGAAGTAGTGATGAGAAAATTGGTGAATGGGATTGCCTGGAACCAACATGCCGTGAACCTTGAACCTCAATACTTTGACACATCAATCAAACACGGCTGAAATCGTTACGGAAAGATTCTGGCACGGGTGACATGGGTACGGAAACAAATTACACGGCGACTGATGTGATGACAAGTGTGGTCCAAAACTGGAAGCGTCCGCTGTTTGATAGGCTACGTCTTGTCTTTGTCCCCTGAAATCCTCAACACCCGCGGCGCCACCGAGAGCGAGTCCTGCTCGAAACTGGCAAGAACTGCTGCCGGTCTTGTCGCCATCCCATCCGTCCCCATTTAAGGGAACGGAGAACGACATAAACATACAAACTCGGAGCTCCGCGCGGATTTCTCGGATCCGCGTTGGACGCCCCTGGCGGCGCCTCTGGCGCGCTCCGCGCGCCAGGGAGGGGGGCGCAGCGCGGATCCGCGAAATCCGCGCGGACCTCCGAGTTGTTCTGCTTCTGTCATTCTTCGTTCCCCCACCATTGCAGGCGTGCCGATCGCCCAGCCCAAACTGCAAGCGAGGCAGCGGATCCTGAAGGAGGCGGGTCCTGGAAACTGGCCTCCGCCCCCCTCCTCCTCCTCGTCCTCCTCCTCCTCCTCGTCCTCCTCCTCCTCCTCCTCCTCCTCTCTGCCCTCGTCGTGAGCCGCCGTTTGACGGCCCTCAGGCTCCGGAGGAGGGCCCCGAGAGCCCAGGCGCTGCGAATACCTGAGGATCCGTTTCTCCTCGGGACCCGTCTGCTCCACAGGAGAGCCCAGAAGAATCGACTCGATACGCTGGATCGGCGATGGGCATGAATCGGATCGCCGGATACCGGCGGCCGAGTCGGGGTAGGTCGAACCAGCGCAATCGAAAGGCCAGTGGGGCCTCCATGAAGACATCGGAGTCCAGATCGGAATTCCCAAGTCGAATCGCATCGGAATCGGGAGCCACTGAACTCGAACCGAATCGAATCGGAGGCGACGACGTGAGTCTACAATTAGGTCGGGCATGTCCCCCTACAGGTGGACTTTGGACGAGAAATTAAAAAATAGTCAAAATTTATCCTTGTGAAGGACCCAACCATATGCACTTGTGGGTGCCGCGTTGTGGGTAACGCTCTCGATGGAGCTCCCTACGGGGACACGATCCTCGTGAAGGGCGTGCCGAGATGAGCGGGGGGACGCATGCGGACCCTGCCGCTGGGGCCTTCTGTGGGACTCCCTGTGGGGCCACGATCCTCGTGAGCGGTGTGCCGAAATGGTCGGGGGGACGCATGCGGACCCTGCCGCGGGGGCCTTCGGTGGAGCTCCCTATGGGGCCACGATCCTCGTGAGGAGTGTGCCGAAATGAGCGGGGGGACGCATGCGGACCCTGCCGCTGGAGCCTTCTGTGGGGCTCCTTTTGGGGCCACGATCCTCGTGAGGGGTGTACCGAAATGGGCGGGGGGACGCATGCAGACCCTGCCGCTGGGGCCTTTGGTGGAGCTCCTTGTGGGGCCACGATCCTCCTGAAGGGTGTGCCGAAATGTGAGGGGGGACGCATGCGAACCCTGCCGCTGGGGCCTTCGCTGGAGCTCCTTGCGGGGCCACGAAACGCTGTCCTGAATGGGTGACACGCAGGGAGGTGACGAGGCGGATGGGAGGAGGGAGAAGGTGGAGGAGGTGGAAGAGGAGGAGAAGAGAGAAGAGGAGGGGAGGAGAGGAGGAACGCGGGGCGCTGTCTCTTCAAAACGAAGACCCAACACCACAGGATGGTGGGGAAATGCTTAGAAAATACCCGAAAATAATAAACAGATCGTCCCCACATAATTTTTTGATTAATTTTGTGATCTTCCCCCTGTAGAGGGACAGGCCCGGCTCAAGTTCATCAGCGGTAAACATCTGAAAGAGGCACGGCCGGCCACGCCGCCTTCTTCTCGTCAGCAGAGGCGTCTCCGACGCGATGAGGTCGTCCACCAGTCTGTAGACGTCCTGCCGGTGTAGGAGAAGGAGGAGAAGGAGGAGAAAGTGGAGTAAGGGGGGAGGAGGAAGAGGAGGAGGGGGGGGGAGGAGGAGGAGGGGGGGGGAGGAGGAGGAGGAGGAGGAGGAGGAGGAGGAGGAGGAGGAGGAGGAGGAGGAGGAGGAGGAGGAGGAGGAGTGAGGAGGAGGAGGAGGAGGAGGAGGAGGAGGATGAAGAGGAGGAGGAGGAGGAGGAGAAGGAGTGGGAGGGAGAGGAAACGGAGGAGGAGGAGGAGGAGGAGGAGGAGGAGGAAGGGGAGGAGGAGGAGGAGGAGGAGGAGGAGGAGGAGGAGGAGGAGGAGGAGACGGAGGAGGAGGAGGTGGAGGAGGACCAGGGGGAACCGGAGAGTCATTAACGATGTTGGAATTAACCCTCCCTCCAAGTGGAAGACAACAGTTTCAAGATCCTAAGCGCGCCACAACATTGTTCTCGGGATTTCAACGCCACGTATCAGACTGACTGCTGCGTCTTGACGATCCAGAATCGCGCCACGACGCCATATTTGGGTCTGCAACGCAGCAAATCAACATAAGTGTTGCGCCCACATATCCTGAAACCTTCAAAAACACCATTTCTGGTACGCTGATCATGGGAATCCGTGAAGCTCTTGCAAATGTTGAAGACGAATGTTCGCGGCGCTAAGGCGAGAACCACATTTTGAAAAGGAACCGCCCTCAATCCGTGAAACTCCTGGAATTCTCAAGAACCACTGTGCGCGGCGCTGAGGCGAGAACCACATTTTGAAAACGACCCACCCTCAATATGTGAAATTCTTGCAAGTCTATAAAAACGAATGCACGCGGCGCTAAGGAGAGAACCACATTTTGAGAACCACCCGCCCTCGATGCGTGAAACTGCTGCACATGTTTAAAACGAATGTGCGCGGCGCTAAGGCGAGAGTCACATGTTGAAAACCACCCGCCCTCAATCTGTGATACTGCTGCCACTGTCTAAGCTTCAGAGTCGTAAATGGTGAGCAAGTCTCAAGCAGAACGCCCAGCCCGCCCTAAGAACTGGCCTCGGGGTGCGACAGGGAGGAGTTATTTATAAGGAGACGGAATGGAGGAGGAGGAGGAGGAGGAGGAGGAGGAGGAGGCACGCGCGGCACGCCCGCACGCGAGACCTGGAGTGCCAGAGCGCCTTCACCCCCCTCCCCAAGGATTGGATGAGCGCCCTCCGCTGCTCGCAAAGCAACTGCTCGCCAACGGCCTCAATCTGCCGCGGGGGGGTCACGCTATATTTTATTAGGGCAGACATCTGCGAGTAGGCAGACAATTTTGTTTTTGGACATCTGCGAGTAGGCACTTTGCGAGTAGTGGAGCGCGCTCGGTCAAGGCTGGCGGCGCACAGAGGGGGGCAGGGGGAGGGGAGAAGGCCTCTTAGAAGGAGGCTGCCTGGTAGGAGGCGGCAGCCCTACAATAGAAGGCCCGCGTCTTCGAAGGAGCAGAGGTGTTTCCAAGAAGCCTCCCCCCTTGGAGACCGAAAGGTACCGATACTGCTCCCCCCCCGGACCTCTCCCGGGGTGCGTTCTGACCAGAATTTCGAGGCGAATCCAGCGGTGGCGACGAGGGCCGCCCAGGAGGCCCCCAAAAGGGGGAAGACGAGGAGAGGGTAGAGGTATGGGGTACCTTTTGCTCCTCTGATCCCCCCTCCTCCCGCCCCCCTTCCGCGCGTGCTCCACAGAGAGACCCCAGCGGCACCGCCCGCGTGCGTCGTCCACCACCCATGGCAGCATTTCGCGGACCCACTGATCGGGAGCCCCACCAAACCCTTAGGGCACGGCCCGCATGCGTCCCCCCCCACCTGGTACATCCCCTCGTGGCCCCGTAGGGAGTTCCAGTGGCCCGCCCGCACGCAACCCCCCAACCCAGTGCAGCGCTTCGTGGGCCCATAGGGAGCTCCACCGAAGACCCCAGTGACACCGCCCGCATGCGTCCCCCTCTCCCGTGGCCCCATAGGGAGCTCCACCGAAGGTCCAAATGGCACCGTCCGCATGCGTCGGCCACCACCCAGTGCAGCGTCTCGTGGGTCCGTAGGGAGCTTCACAGAAAGACCCCAGCGGCACCGCCCGCATGCGTTTCCCCCAGCCATTACAGCGTTTCGTGGTCTCATGGGAATCTCCAGAGAGGGGCACCGCCCGCATGCGTCAGCCACATCCAGGACAGCGTTTCGTGGCCCACAGGGATGGCCCATAGGGAGCCCCACCGAAGGCCCCAGTGGCACCGCCCGCATGTCTCCCCCACCCATTACGGCACGTCCCTCACGCGTTTCGTGGCCCCATAGGGAGCTCCACCGAAAGCGGCAACCACAACGCGCTATTCACGACTGCATATGGTTGGGTCCTTCGCCTGGATCTTTTCTTGTCAATACCATTTTTCAGATTCCTCCTGTAGAGGGACAGGCCCGACTTAAGAATCAAGGTGGTTTGTTTAGTCAGGGTTTCGACATTTTGCCGCAGGGTGGGAGAGCGGGGGGGGATCTGGGTTTGTGCCGGTGCTCAGTCGATCTGCTCTTACCAGTCGCGCAGCCAGACCGGGGGTGAGGGGTCCAGAGCAGTCGCCAGAAAGCAGACGCAAGAGGCAGCCAAGAGACGGTCTATGGGGACGAACGAACACCACACACACACACCCATACCCATAGAGGGGCGGCGGGCGTTACGGGTGCGTGTTGCCAGCATGGGAGTCCCCGCTCGAACGGGCGCCTCCCCCTGGGTGCGACAACCCGCACCCATGCCCATAGCCAGGCCTCCTCCCTCCGACCTCCGTATGGGTATGGCCGTTTCTTGTCAGGGGCGCGCAAACATGGATTAGCGATCCATGGATTTGGCGCGCGGTCGCCAAATCCATGGATCGGAGGAGGTGCCCTCCCCAAAATGCTGCCGGTGCCGCCTCGTCTGGCGGCGAAAATCAGCGATGTTTACGATGAAAGCGGGACCCGTCGCTAATCCACGCCCCCTTGATCCATGCTTGCGATCGCCTGATGTTGTTCATTCGTCATGCGAGGGGGGGCTGGAGGAGGAGGAGCAGGAGGAGGAGGAGGAGGAAGAGGACGAGCAGCAGGAGGAGGAGAAGGATGACGAGAAGCAGGTGGAGGAGGAGTAGGAGCAGGAAAAGGAGGAGGAGGAGGAGGAGGAGGAGGAGGAGGAGGAGGAGGAGGAGAAGAAGGATGGGGGCGAGGGGAGGGGGGGCCCACGCCGATCGGCGAAGCGGCGAGGGGGGGGGCGGCGGGGGCCCGCGCCCATCGGCGAAGCAGTACACTCAACAGGAGCCCGGCCGCCCGAGAGCAGCGCGCCCCCGGGGCCGCCACCAGGGAGCCGGCGCGGCGGCCGCTTGCGGGGGGGAGGGTCCCCCCCGCCCTGCCCTCGCCTCTTCGGCAGCAGCTCGTGGGAGCCTCCCATACCCTCTTGTCGGCTTTTGCGGATCGACGCCAACTCGACGCCGAATCGGGCCCCAATCGACGCTACACCGACGCCCATCGACGCTGACCGACGCTGGGTCGGCGCTATCTCGTCGACCCTCCCAGACGCTGATCGGCGCTAGAGGCGGAACTGCGAGGGCACACAAGGCTGCCATGGTTTTTGCTATCGAACTCCCCCTCCCCTCGACCGGTCGAGGGGAGAGCAAGGAGAGCTCTCTCGGAACGGTTACTGTGCTAAACGTCTCGCGGGGGAGCAAGATGCTGGGCCTGGCCAGGGCTGGAGCCCCCGACCGCGAAGGAATCCACACGGAATTCGACTAGCACCACGAGGGGGGCCCACCCGAGCCGGTGCCTCAGGACAGCCGCCGCCCGCTGAGCCAGGGGGAGCAAGGAGGGAGGAGAGACTGGGGAGAGAGGAGCAGTTGGTCTGGGAATGCAGAGGGCGGTATGATCCCCAGCTGCCGCAAGGCACCCCAGCCCTCGAGAAGCTCCGAGAGGCCTGGGACCCGGAGCTGGGAATAACTCGCAGCGCCGCGAAAAGTCACGGCTGGACCTCTCGACTCCATCTTGTTACAGGCGACGTACGTTCGCCATGTGGGGCCATCTTGGCGCCATTTGAAGCCATCTCGGCGCCATGCATGGCCATCGTTGCGCCAACCAAGAACGCCTAGCCTAGGGCCAGCTTGGCGCCATTCAGGGCCCTCCTTGGGCCATCCAGCATCTGATCGTGATCTGACCAGGGTGAACACGAGGCCACCTTGGATCTTGCGAAAGGTGACTCTAAGGCCGTCTTGGCACCGCTCGGAAGCACCCGGGAACATCACGGCCACCTTGTGCATCACTGCAGACCCTGGATCTGTCCTGGAACGCGTCCTGAGCGCGAGCACCTGTGCGGGCAAGAGTTGTATCCATATCCACTGCGTCTTGGACTTTCTGGGAAGTGGCGCCAAAAGGCGGAGGCGAAGTGTGGATATGGATAAAGATCCAGCCTCCAGGGGCCACTGGGCCTCCGCTTTCCCGGGGGAGCGGGGCCGAAACTGTCGGACGCAGGGATCGGGAGCGTCCAAGAGGTGAGCGTCCAGGAGGGGGGGTCACAAATCATGGTTAGAGGCATGTGCACGGCCCAGGAACGCATGAAATGAGAAAAGGCGCCATGGATTCTGGCGAGATCCTGTGGCCCTGGTCATGATTTCCGGCCCCCTAGTCGTCATCCCCCTCTCGGCCACCCCCGAACGGATATACATCTTGCCCGCTAGCGGTGCCTTCTCAGAGACCCAAGACAGGCCGAAGAGCGTCAGATTCGCCATCACCGACGCCTCCTGAGTTGGCGCCCGCCCCCAGAGGGAGGATCAGCCAGTATTAGGTCGGGCGAGTC